TCATCGAAAAAGTTGCCGCTAGTATTGCATCGATCAGTATTGAAAACAGCGAACAGGATCCTCAGCTGATGAAACAAAGCTGCCACGATTCCGGTATCGATATTCGCGATCCGAATCTACCAGTAGTTTTGAATACGAAAAAGAATTACAGCGATGCTGATATTGTTCTCTCATCAGATTGGGTCCCACCTATCACAATTGCGCCAACTGACTACACCGACACACAGTCACGATCGCAAGACACGAGACTAAACGCTGGAGGCACATCGCTAACTGAACCGACAGTTGTTGGCCGGAAGAAAACCTCGAGCGTTAGTTTCAGTGTTGACGATAACAGTGACAGCCAACAGCATCATAGCACAAGCAGTGATAAGACCAGTGATAACAACAAAAAGAATAAGATGTTGAAACGCCTCTCATATCCATTGACTGGCCTAATCGAGGGACTCGCAGGAACGGGCGATGACAAATTACGAAGCGACAGCGCTGAATCGGCCCCAAACACTGGCGACTCAAACCAAAGTGTTTTCTCCAAAGTATTCTCTAGGTAAGCATTGATATAAACGACACAGCACATTTATCAGTGAGTCATTTGCTATTTATAACTTGGCGCGAGGAATTCTAGCCTCCTAATAAAAGTTTATAAACTAATTCTTTTCTCCAGCAAAATTTCAAATGAAAACAGAAGAATCAATTCTAAATAATTCCCTTTTGTTATTTTTCATCCTGACTTTTTTTACGAATTCGCAACTGATTCTGGACTGAATGAAATACCATTCGCCGAAAAATACATTTCACACCAACTATCATTTTGAATTTGATTTGCACTATTCTCTTTTGTTGGCTTAATTTGCTTTTTTTCGTTTTGCTTCCCCAACAAAACCACCGATCCTTGATACAAACATTATTCGAATTCGCACAATTACACATACACATACACATACACGTTTTTTGTCTCTAAACACACACCGTGTTGTCGTTTTGATTTTATTTCCTTCATTTCTTCAAATTTGGTTCAATCTTCGAAAACAATATAACTTTTTAATTTAATATTTGCAACATAAACAAACGCACAATATTATTCCCCGGCTTTTGGAAAACTGTATAGCTCACCGATAACACTTGTTTCTGAGCTCGGCGGCAATTTATTCTTGTCGAAAACACCATCTGAAGAATCTGGCGGATCGCCAGTACCGCCTTTAACGCCAAATGCTCAAGATGGTAGTGCAAATAGTTCTTCAGCTCAAGCAGCGGCGGGGTAAGAATTTGTACAATCAAAAACCAAACTGATACACACAAAATACTACTACAAAAATTTGTTCACACCATATATTTTTTGCAATTCAAATGGTCAATACTGTATCTCTCTCTCACTTTCTCTTTTTGCATTATTTTTCGGAATGTCCAAGTGCTTGTTTTGTATTTGTACAAGTGGTGAAAGTGCTCTTGTTTGGACTCTTTCACCAAAGACATCCACATCCAAGATTCTGTTCTGTTCATCAAGCTCACCTTACTATTTTTGTTGATTCTACAATTTAAATACGTGCAGTTCATCTAGTATCATATATGAAATAATTTTTTTTCTCGAGTTTGAGTTTAGTTTAATATAGTTTTGTATGAAAATCTCACCTCTCTACTGTCAATTCATTCTACACCATAGACGTTCACTGCATTTTTTCTGTTGATATTTTAGTATCATTCCTTGTAAAAAGTTAACCATGTTTATTTCTGTAATTGGTTGAATTTGGTTTGTCTGTAATACCAATGCTAAGGTGCATTATCCTCAACGAGGACATTAATTGATATTTATTTTCATTCAATTCGATTTGAATCCGCATTTGTCTTGAAATCTGTATTTGGTTGTAATTTTGTATCATCATGTCGTAATATTTGAGATGACACGCACTAATTTAGATTGTTTTTTAATTTAGACGATCATCCATTGGAACATTCATTCGACCAAATTCATCGGACGGATCGCAAACCAAATCGGTTAAAGCTCCACCACCGAAACTTGACTACCGTTCAATGGTGTCTATTGATGATTGTCAATCTCTTTTCGTCAGTTTCGACAGTAAGTACAAATATCATCCTTTTCTTTTCTCTTTGAAATGAAATAATGATCGATTAATTTAACATTAGAACTTAAAGGCTACGTTCTTGTATACACTTAGTGAAAAACTAGAAATGCAACCAGTTAGAAATTAGAGAATCAAAATTACGATGCTAATTTAAAACATTCAATTTGATGATAGACCGAATGAGTACTGTACCCGCTACAAGAATAGATATCAAATGGGATGTTTTTAAGAAGACGTCGACTTAGTTATTTATCATTATAATTTGAGTCATTATGAATAGTGTCCTTCCAGAAAATAACTCATCATTTCTAGTTAATACTACTAACGAAATCATTTCTACGTAATATTATTTAGTGAGAGCTCCGTTTAGTAGCCAGCTCGAAAAGCTTGGTAGGTGGCCAGTCTGATGAACAATCTGCTTTTTTGCATTTTTGTTTTAATTTCTGTTCATTCTTCTGTCTGGTGGGATTGCACTATTATTTGTCGCTCTTTCAATTGACTACGTTATAAATCTTATATTCAAGATGATCATTCATAAATTTCCTTGATATATTTATTGTAGTATGTACTCATTTTTTTGAACAAGTTTTATATTTTGCTTCCTTTTTTAATTGCTTTATCTTCCTGATTTCCTCCTCATGCACATATTTATAAACTTCTCACGTGATTTGTTAAATAGTGATTGATATGTTTGACGTCTTTCGGAAATTACATTGAATGAATTCAAGAACTCTTTCTACTATTTTTGACATGCAAGCTCCATCTTCTAAGCTCTTTTTACTGGGGTATTGTGGTGGATTTTTCTGTGAAACAGTCATCAAAATATGTTGTGTTTGATGGTTACTTTGTACTGATTTTGAACACTTGATACTAAGAACAAAATTGTATTTTTCTCTGTATCTGATTTAGAATTGATTCCACGACCCGCTCGTGCATGTGCAGATCCACCATTGTATTTACGATTACGAATGGGCAGACCACTCGGTAAAACGATGCCATTGCCAAGCAATGTTGTAATGTCGTACGGTAAAAATAAATTGCGGCCAGAATTTTGGTTCAGCATACCGAAAAATCGAATCGATGAGCTGTACCGGTTCTTGAACACTTGGGTGCCACATTTGTATGGTGAATTAGACGAACAAGAAGTTGCAAAACGTGGTTATGAACTGATTCAAAACGATACCGATTGGGTAAAAAGTGGACAAAACAAGGTTTGTAGCAGTTTTAACTCAATTTTATCGATTGAACTTCAGTTTGCGAAAACAAAAAAAATCGCAGATAATTAAGAATAATGAATGAAATTTAAATGGATACAATAATACAATATTTGTGTTGATCACACAGGACGGCCAAATGACAAGCGATGGCGAAGATATTTCAGAGTTGACGCGGGAATCATGGGAGGTGAGTCAAACGTTTTCGGAGCTTTCTTTTCTATTAAACGCCAAGAATACGTTCACTTCCAACTCGAAAATGTTTTTTCAAAGCAAGCAGAAATCACATTAAAAATAATAGACAACAACATAACAATTTCCGTTGAAATTATATACACAATCACAAAAATTATACAGATATGACAAATAAATAGTTTAATGATACAATCAATTCGGTTAGGAAACATACACAAACACAAACATGAATACAAACAAAACCACACAGAGTCAGAAAGATAAAACACAACTCTTCAGCAGGAACAATTGACAATTAGATTCAATTTATCATATATTTTTTTCGTCAACACAACTACACGCAATAAACTTAATAGAATGGATCAAAGCAAGGGGCATTTTTTTCTCGTTAAAAGGCATCGAACAGCAAATTTTGAATTCATTGTTTAAATAAAATATCAGCAATACACTTACACTAAAACCAACAACATCACACACAGTTTCTTTTGTTTTAGTTGAATTTAATTAGGAAGAAGGCGAGGACGCTAGAATATATTCATAGTAGTTAGACAAAATCGTAAACAACTCCTACATGTTGTTGATGAAAATGAAATTCTAAACTGATCTGTGTTTTTTTATCGACATATCTCCGCATTTCCCTTGGCCATCCAACGACAATTCGGACAAATTACTTTTAAATAAAAATCAAATTCTGGTGGTTGAAAAAAAAACATAATAATAATACAAATGACGTTTGTGTGCGTGAAACGCATTGGCCATTACAGCTGCTTAAGGCGCCTTTCGTTAAGACCTACCAAAAAACTTGCCATACATACCAGTTTATTAAAAGCCAAACAGGATCGAACGATTTGGAAGGTTGTGAGGTTAGGAACAAACTCTAATTGTTTTGTTTCCTTTTTTGTTTTCCTTTTCATATAATTATTTCAAAAAATGCGGTAACGCAATGAGTTTGTGTGATTAGATGGAAACATGTGAATATTGCACCTAAACCAATAGACTATATAT